CCTATCTTGAGTTGTTTGATTAAAGTAAATTTTCGAGGACGAAAATATTCTAAGTGAGAGAGAGTTGTAACGCCAGTAATTTAATTAATTATTTAATTAAATTATTTTAGGAATAATTGATGTGTTGTGATTAGTTGGATTTATTTATTTTATTAAGTGGTGGAGTAATATTAGAAGAATGATAATATTATTTGATGTGGGCTTGTTTTAAAGAATAGAAGTAGTAATTAAGGGGGTGTAGTAGTCTTAAGCCCATTAAGAAATAAAGAGAATAATAGGGTTATTTTATTATTGTTAGAAATAATAGAAAGAAGAAGCAGTAAGAAGAATAAAGGTTAGAGAAAGAACGTGAAAGCTGTTGGAAAAGAGGCAGAACGGAAATTCAACCGGAAGTTATAGAGAAATCTTCAATCTAAGTTAAGGGTGGGGTTCTGACTCTATAATAGGGTTTACGATAATTGGTATGTGGTATTAGAGGTGAAAGATTGTTTGGTTTATGATTGAATTATATATGATGTTGTATGATGGAAATTGATGATTGAAGGATGAATAACGATATCCCAATGATGTATATTTGATGTAGAATTATAGGATAATTATAATTGATGATTATCTATGATTAGAGGATTTTTTTTAGGGCCTAAAGTATGGAACACGTAGTGAAAACACAGAGAAATCACATAAAATATTTATGACAGGGCAGTATGTGTCGATCCCAAACGTTATTTGTCGATACAAGAATGTTGTTAGACTCGGTATGAGTCAACACAAAGGAGTCATGTGTCGATACATGAGAGCTTTTAGACTCAGGATGAGTCGATACGTAGGAGCATGTGTTGATACATGCAGTGTTGCTGACTCAGTATGAGTCGATACAAGAGAGTATGCGTCGACTCATGTGGCGTGTTAAACCCAGTAAGCGTAAGGCATTACGCGTCGATACATGTTGTCTGGTTTTTGACAGATTCGTTTTCCCAAGGCTGTAACCTGAGTTTTCGGACTCCGTTTGAGGTGTCGTTCGAAACGTTGAATAGCTAACGCGATGAACTTCATTCTTAAGGATTAAAATGAAGAATAGGAAGGATAATCCTAGTATCCAAATTAGGACTAGAGTTAATTCCCGCGTTAATCGCTATGCTAATTTTTGTGAAGAATGATGAGGATGAGATGTTTATAGATTGTTGTTTGGGTTGTAACAGTAGGATTAATGATGAGAATGATGAAGTATTATAGAATAGTAATATGTAGAGGTTTGATAATTTATAAGTAAGCCTTAGATGATTAATTAATTATAGGCAATATCATATTGTAGGCTTATGGCCAACGTTGCGAGATTGCTGATTTACCGTTGTATTGCTGTTGTGGCTGAGTTGCTGTGAATATATGATGTATATATTATGTTTGATGAATAAATGATGTTGATGAATGATGTTGATGAAAGATGTTGAGATGCCTCTAATAATTGGCAGCTATTAAGATGTAGGATTATGGCCAACGATGATGTTTGTGTTGAGATGTTGTTAATTGTGGTGTTGTCATTACATTCATGATTGTGTCGCATACATTGCATTTCAAGATGGGGCTTATGCTCGTTAAGATGGCCTGTATTGGCAAATATTAAGATGAAGGCTTATGCCTTGTTGATGCCTCTATTTATTGGCATATTTTTAATATGGGAGTTCTGCTTCAATGGTACCACATGAATTTGCATAGTATTGAGTCGCATTATATGATTGCATAAAGAAGTTGTGTATTGATGGTGTGAATGTGTATTATTGTTGCAATTATTTTTGATTATGAGATGAGAGGTGGTGATGTCATGTGATCTAATTTAATATATTAATTATCATACGTTTTATTATATTGTTAGATATCTCACCTCTTCAGTTTGAATGTTACCATTACGTTGATAACGTGCAGGTAATCGAGAGTGAAGGCTGAATATCTTCAGTAGTTTGAGTCGGTGTCATTGCTCTGATATCTAACACTCGGGGGGATGAACGCTTGTTGCTTTTAATTATTTATTATATCAGTTGTTGAACTTTAATTTGAGGGATATTAAGTATGTGTTATTTTGAAGTTGTTGTAACGATGGATAAAGATGTTATTATGAATTCCACTGCGTAGATGCTTAAATTATTGAATTAAGAGATTTAAAATTATTATGCTGATAGTTCATCCGAAGTTTTAAAGTGTTATGTATCCACGTTGAATGCAATGTGTTTACAAAGATGAATTTGTGGCATCCTGATTCGTTTGCGTGAATTATTATAACTCTGATTTATATTTATAATTGCCGGGTAAAATTGGGGTGTTACACATACCACCATCACACTTATTTAAATAATTGAATTAAAATAATCTTTATTCTAATTAATAATTAATTTCTAAATAATTTCCACCAACTCCAATAAGTCACAACTTATTCTCTACACCTCTATCTATAAAAGATACACATCTTCCCTCTTATTTATCTAATTATTCACACACGATAATTAAATAAAATACATATAAATTACAAGGAATTCACAAATAACTCAATTAAAATAATTTAATAAAAATTGGGGTGTTACAACACACACATCCACAAAAGCGCACACACAGATTAAAATAAATTCGCGCAAGCACTTAATTAATTGGAAGCTTGATTAATCAATTAAGAAGGTAAAAATCACTACCTAATCAATTAAAAAGGTTGTTTAATCAATTAAACCAAAGTGTAAGACTCCTTAATTGATTACGAGGACTAATAATTGATTAAGTGACTTATGTTTTCAAAATTTTATAATTTATGATAGTTAACCAATTAATATATGGATTTAATCGATTAACTCGTTAAAATGACCCGTGAGTTATTTCCTTTTTAGCCAATTTTTTCTATATAAAGTAGGTTTGACCTCATTTAAAATTACACCAGTTTTCTGAATAGAATCTCTTCTTTCATTTTCTTCTCTCATTTCTTTTATAAATTTTTTTTTTACTAAAGTTATTGTAGTGCCAAGAAAGTTAAAAGTTCTTTTCTTCGAGTTGTTGTATTTGTATTGTGCTAAAGGTTTATTCAAGAATATAATGTCTTGTAATAGTGTTTAAAGATTGCAATTTTAACTTGTTAAAAGGTTGATTTAGGTTTTGAGCTTAACATGTATAAAAGCTTCGATGAAGATTATTGAGCCGAACCTCTAAAAAGATATGGTTTAAGTTTTAAGTTAAGTTCGGTACAAAAGCCTTGTTGTTAGAAATTTCAAGAGGAAACTCATAAGCATTAGGGTACAAAAAATGATTAGGTTGAATCGTTATAATTCTCTATTGTGATCTCTCTACCCATTCTTTTTTAATTTTCTGCTATTTATATTATTTCGCTGCTTATCTCTCTTTTCACTTCTCTATCTATGTGCTGCTTATTTCTCTTTTCTCTTCTCCATCTCTCCATTGCTCTATTTTTGTTTTCTTTCTTTTTTTAAATTAATATTTCAATGCTAAAAGTGTTTATAAACCAATTTTTTTTATATAAAATTGAATAATACATTTTATCCACACTCTTGTGTTTATAGTCACTTGATTAACAAGGAATAACTAGAAAGTCATAATCAATTGATGGACACCTTTCACAGTTCAAACTGATGATGGTTTTGAATATGTGAAACCTAAGAATGATGGAAAACTGGTTAAAGAAGAAACTGCTCTTAAAAATTTATATTTAAATAAATATTTTGAAGGAATTTATGATTTTTAGGGTGAGTTTGATCCCTGATTTGTTTCAAATGAATTGACACGGTAAAATTTTAATTCGGAGTTGATTTTTCAGATAATCGAGTTTTTTATGTTAGGTCGCGTAAAGGCCAGAGACGCAGTATCGCAAGATCTAGAACACTGAGATTATTTAATTATATTCTATTTTATTATAAAATATATCAATTAATACAATTGATACACCTTGATTCTAATTGATACAAATATTAAAAATACTTCAGATTTAAATATTTGAAAACCTCTAAAAATGAAATATTGAGACACTTCACATATTCATATCCGAAAATTTCTGAAACTAAATATTAGATGCGTTCGAATATGTATATCTAAAATGTACTTTTGAGTTTTCAATGATCTTTTTCACCGTATAGAGGTGAATAAAAAAATTCTCAATTTAAAAAGTATTTGGACTTAAGAGCCGAACTGGTAGACTCTTTGAGTTTGGGCTTAAGGTTGGGATCAATCTAATAAAATTGGACCTTATACTATTCTTTGCGCTTCTTTTTTCTTTGGTATACGCCTCCCTCTCAATATGTGCATGTTGCATTTTGAAGAATAATTAATTAAAAAAATATAACCAATTGAATTTTGAAAAATAAACTTAATCATAAAAAATAATTAAATATTTATTAAACAAATAAGATTATTATTTATATCCTGAAATTTGCAAATTGAAAAAAAAATTTGTTTGATTCTTCTACTGATTTATATCAGATTTACTGTCAAATTAATATCTAAATTATTAATGTTGAATTAATATTTATAAATTAACAGAAATTATTTCGCCGAACTTCATTTAAAATCAGATTGTTTTTTGTCTATTCATAAATTCTACAAGTGTGAAGACTCAACTCCTACAATTTTAGGGGACCAATAAGTGATTTACTCATATTTAAAGTAGAGACTAAGCAATTCTAATTATAGTATTTAGAGTGTGATTAAAGATTGCAACCTCAAAATTGTTTACATGCATAGCTAACTCAATAATTAAACCACTATATATTCTTTTTGAAAGTCTTCAAAGCCATCAAGTTATACCAAATAAATGAATATTACAAAAACTTGATAAGCACCACTCACCAACCATTTTACTTTTTTGCTTTGTCCAGGTCCACTCCTACTACTTCTAGATTCAAACAAACACAACCAAAAGAACTAGTGGCTCTTTTAATATTTCAACACTTTGCCTACTTCACATTTCATTTATCTAACTACATAGTCACAATCACAAAGTGATTCATGTGTTGAAAATGTGTCCTCTCAGACTCATTCTCGTATTCTTGTCTGCTACTCTTGCTGCTTTTTTCGTCCTCGGAAACCTTAGATCTCAACCTCAACCTCAACCTCAACCTCAACTCACTGAGCTGGACAAAGAAAAAGACAATGAAGATGTCTCAGAAACAGAAACCTCGAATTCTGCTAAACCAATCTTAATTGCACCTTCTAAATCTAAGGTTTGTCTGTTCTCTCTCTATTCAACCCTTTTACTGATTCAGATTTTTGTTCATAAAAATGTTGACTTTTTGTTACATCATGGTTTGGTTTTATTGTTTTCAATAGGTTAAGGTTGCTTTGGAATCTGGGTTTTGGATGTTTGTTGACATGGCTTCTGGTCGTTATCTTTGGAGGCAGCTGGTTCAGTCCTCTTCAAAGTAATAATTGATCAACATGTTCTATATCACATATGAATGTTGCCTCTTATGTTAGTATTTTGGAAACTAAATTCCTAAATCTCTTTTTATATGGTGATGATATTGATATTCATAACTGCAACAGAACTAATTGCTGTATGAATATCTGGTATGAAATATTATAGTTTAAAGATAGAGTTTGCTTGTTATCCCTTTCAAAGTTTTAAAAAACGGTCGCAGTCGCTTCACGGCCACGTCAAAATTTTTGCAATTTCGATTGATACAAGTGTATTATGGTCGTCGCGGTATGAATTAACTACAATTTATTCTTAGATATAAAAAACGATAATAACGATATCGGTATTAACACGTGTCAAAACCGTTTTGCCGCGGCCGTTTTCGTGGTCGCAGACAGTTTTTAAAACCATGATCCCTTTTGCTCTCGTTTTCCTATTGTTTTCATCTAAAGTCATGTATACCACTACATCTTACATGTTATACATGGGCGGATCCACATGCAAAAATTAGTATATGAATAAAGTGGAACTTTGCAAAGTATGAGCGAAAAAATACTTGGGTGTTACTCAATGTCACACATATATAAAGGAGACAATTATATTTGTCCTCCGTTTATCTGACGTAGAGTGCGGAAAATCATTGGATATATATATCAACGACCTTGATGAAAGAATGAACGTGCTTGTGTACGGACTCTATAGACGAAGGTCAACTTAGTCATTAGTGATTGACGCGTCATTATTGGATCGAGCCTTTGGATTTATTTGGTCATCATGAACATTGACCATCTCAAAACATTTGCCCTCTTCCCCGAGTTCTTATTATCATCTTTGAAGCAAGGATTATTTATGTAAAAGTCGGTGAGGCCAACCTAAAAATCTTAACCACTGAAAGAGTTTCTCTATTGAGAATGTGCACTGTTGAAAAGGTATTATATATTGGTATTAAGTGGGAGTGTTTGACCTAAGGAATATACATATTAAATGCACATCGTGCAGGAAGAATGTTATTTTAGTGATGGCCTATATGTTCCCCCACACAATAGGGAAGTAAGGTGGCACACCTAAGTCCACTTGAATGCACTTAAGTGTAGATAATGTTCCAAAAAATGAGAACTTGGAATTCTATTTTGACTTTTGACATCTTATTTATTTCTCAAGTGCAATGTGTGTGTGAGCATGCGAGAGAGAGAGAGATGAGGAAAGAGCTTTGTAGGTTAATTACTTTCGCATAGGTGTTTATGATTTTTCGAATCCTCCGACATTTCATCTTGAGCTCTTCACACACATGTATTAAAAGACAGTGTATCACTACGACAAAATGTAGGTTTTGTAACGAACTTTCACTTTGGCTATAGTGTCCACAATAGTAAAATCTATTCATTTATGCGCTTTTATTTTTTTTAACTTTTCAAGACACATTTCACTTCAGTTAGTCATAACAATTGTGGTGAAATGTTAGATGTTTCTTTTTATTTTATAAAAGTTAAATAACATTTCACCTTATTCAGGCTTTCCAAATGTGGGGAAATGTCCCTCTTAGGGACACTCTTCGAATCTCAACGCTTCCAATTTAATTTTTCATTCATTTTTAAGACACTTTTATTTCACAGTATCTTCGTTCATTTTTTACTATTATGAAAATTTTGACGTTGAATATCAATGTCAAGGTTCAAGCATATCATTTACTTGATAAAGTAAAACTTGACCTTTCCATTTTTCACTTGGCTTTTTATACCAACCGTGATAAAAATTTACGCGTTATCCAGTTTATTACCACGACCAATGGCTCGTGGTGGAAACAAGTGCACTTTCTATCACACATTTCGTTACCACATACTATCAAATATGATGAAATCATTATTCCAACCTTAGTAATATATAATTTTTGTAATAGTGTATTCTTTTTTATTACTTTTGTTTATTTATGAGTTTTAATCGTGTTTGAATATGGTAGACCTAGGAAACCAAGATTTAGGCATCCCTATTATATATTATAAGGGCATAGAAACTAGAGATGGTGATTCTAGAACTGAAACAATGGTGGTAAATCTAAGGTATATGGAGCCTTATTTCACTTGTATAAGTTGAGGCAAGTATGAGTGAGTTTTAGTTTCAGGGAAGTTAAGATGACTTACCTTACTATTTTTGAAAATATAATGGATAACCCCAAGACTCATAATGTTTCTATAGCTTTATAAATCCAATTTAAATGTAAGACTAGTGAGTACGAAGTGAGATTTTGGTTGAGGAGAAGTCCATATGTTTAACTTACGGTAACTTTATTTGTCTTTGAACAATAAATAAGACAAGGTGAATAAGATATCACTACCAACTCTAGAACTGCCTCATGTTGCTGAGGATTATACCTGGGTAGATGACGAGGTACTAGAGGTTCAGTGTTTCCACTCGGATGAAAATAGAATGGAACTTGCATATTGGAAATGTGTGGCAGTCATCAGACAAGTAAATGACACTCCCTGGAAATGATAAGTATGTTTGTAGACTATTTAAGATGTGGGGATTTCCCATGTATGAGTATTTCTTCTCTTGGATGGGGTCCCTTTTCCTTTCAATAAATTTGAAATCTACATAACAACTGCATCACATAAGTTGGGCATATGTGAAATTTTTTCAGTACGCGTGTGAGTACAGAAATAACTTGTCTTTGTTGGTCTTGTTCTTTCATTATTCAACAATTTAAGGAAGTCTAATGATCCTGGCCATCCTTAAGGGTTGATATCCTTGAAGCAAGGTTGAAAGTTTTTTATAGTGTATATAGATAACTTTAACAACTTCAAGAATAAGTATTAATTTATCACCCCATCAACCTTAACACACATGAAAGTCTCGGGGAGATTTCAATAGGGGTGCTTGATGAATTAGATGTAGGGTGTCACATAGAGAAGCAATGAGATAGTTTTGAATCCATTGTGTCTGATGGTAACTCCTTTAAGGCTCAAATGATTATGGAGAAATAGGCGGTACAATCTTTTAAGTGAAACACTCTCCTTCCTAAGTTGAGGCGCATGGACAAGTTCACGAAATGTTTGTTTTAGAACCACTTTGTCCACGACCCTGGGACGTATATTTACATATAACAATTGATAGAAATAAAGGATATCATACCCCACAGGGAGTGAAAGTAACTTATATTAATTTTTCAATATACTATATATTGAATTCAAGCAAAAGCAAGGATAAAAAAATATATGAGAGTCACAAGCTCAGTTTTCTCTTAAACGAGATCTAAACCGTGTGAAATGAGTGTTGTAAATATATTAAGAGAGTGTAACTTTATCTATGATTCATTAATATTAGTGAAAGAAATGTGTTCATTATATGAAGTGTTGTACCAAGAAAGGTCAGAAAGTGATCCATATATGTATCTCTACAATATCAAAAGAATGTGTTTCAAGGCAATGGAACAAATATCTAAGTCACGCTTATAACCTTAAAACACGTCTGATTGTATTCTGAAAATTCTTTATAGTTGTAGTTTCTTATCTCTAAGTGAACTATAAGATTTTATATGTTTCCAAGTTGATCATTCAAAGAATCAAATTTATAAAAGGTTAACACATAATAAAACAAGGCGATATCAACACATCATTTAACATAAAAGAAACATAATATTAGCTTCTCATTTCTCAACAAACAAAAGGTTTAGCTCATAATGAGCTGAGTACAAACTACAGAAATGGTTCTTAGAAGAAACATTCTTAAACAAATAATGAAAAGGAAATGTAAACCTAAAATTAATATGAGGCCTCCTTGTGATAGATAATCAATAAGTGAATACTTCAGTTGTATCAGAATTCAACAGTTGGCACTGGGAATAGTGAGAAGAAGAAACTCTCTTTTTATCCACTAACCCTCACACTATTTTCTTCTATGGTTTTTCTTCAAGATGTTGAACTTTCTTCTCATTCTTCAATAAGGTCTATTTATAAGCTTTCAGCTAGGGATCATTTTACACTATCTTGGATCATGGCCTTTTTTAGAAATAACATCAAGAACAATACTTTCTCCAGTATATTCCCTTCAATCCTTCTACTTCGTATGCAAGGAATCAGGTACAAAGATAATTGTGGGGGACAATGTGTAGTGTGAGAGTCTGCCATGGCAGGGGTGCAGGCGGCACTGTCATTTTCTGCAAGGCGCATTTGTAGTGGGAGTACTATGTACCCTATTTTGTCTGCTAGTGCCCTTGACCTTATCCATTTAATTCAAAAGACTCTCTTCCAATGCAACATCAAACATTCCTTCCAATGTGACTTCTCTTCCACGTATGCCCTAAGAATTCAAGTGGTTCCATCATTTCACCCTTTGATTTGTCTTCAAATTTTTGCTTCACTTTGAACTCCCAGATGATGTCCCCTAATTTCTTGTCTCAGCTCATCATAACTAATCTTGAAACATGTAACAAACACATCAAAACTACAAAAGAGATCACATATTGTGCTCCAAGCAAATTAATATAAAATCAAATAAAGATCAATAAAAAACTACAAGCTAACAAATCAACTAGCTAAGAACAAAAATTAGGCTATATAATAACTCACAAAATCTGGATTATCAGTTATAAAATTGCTTAATGAAAATGAGATGACAAAAAGAGCTTATATGTGCTTGAGATTATGTCAAATGAGCAAGTAGAGTGAAATAAGATCTCATAAAGAAAAGCTACCCATTTTCCCGTGATTCAAGTCACATTATAAGCTTCGTTTAAGTCAGGAAGCTCATGATTCGAGTCATGTGCAACGCTTGATTCGAATCAAATCAGAAAGAGCCAAACACAAAAACGTGAAAACTTTGTGATTCATGTCATGTAAAAAGTGTGATTTGAATCAAATAAGGTAGTGACTAATGGGAGGTGTGTGATTAGAATCAAGTGCTACTCGTGATTTGAGTCATAATGCTGCATGGTTTGAATCATGTACAAACTATGATTTTAGTCACTGTTGTTCTTCTCTGTTGGATTTAATTCGATTAGGGGATTGTGAGT